AATGATTATATTGAATTATTATTCTGCAATTTGACAAAATAATACTTCATTTAAAATATCAGCAAAAACGAGTGAATCGATAATAGTAAATTCTATGACTTTACAGCAATACGGCATCTATCCTAAAACATTTTTCACGTTCGTATAAGAATTTTTGAGTTGGCATCGCATCTTCATAGAACAGAACGGCTCCTAAGGGACTGTAACCATTATTTGAAATATTGGTTTCATTATGCTGTCGCAAGAGATTTTTGAAGTCCGTTATTATTTTCCACGATGATACTTGAATCAGTCCATATTACGTATTCGAGCGCAGATATCNCCACCCAAATCTCCAGTTTTTGCGTTACCTTCGGCAATCGCGTCGAAACATGCCTGAATCAAACTCAGTAACTTCTTCTTAACTGACGCTTTGTGTGTTGAAAGTTTACGAGTGAAGATTGAAAAAATAACCTTTTCAATCTTATCGGCATACTCAGGTAAATTCATATAGCGCAGCATCATTACAGCCGATAGAAGGAGAGCGGTTGGATTTGCTTTGTCCTTTAATGAAACGATAACATATTACAGGTGTGCGGAATGATAATAATGAAAATGAGAACCTGTCCAGCGATATCAGGTGCTGTGCCGTGAACAGACTCAAAAACGGCAGCATCCTGACCGATATTGCCCGATGGCGTAACACCCAAGCCACCAATAAGACCTGCACAAAGGTCCGATAGAATATCGCCGTACAGATTCGGCATTACCAACACATCGTATTGATTCGGCTCTTGTACCATCTGAATGGTTAGGGTTATACAACGCTCATATGACATCTATCATAACGTCAAGCTCGCTTGTTGCATTCAAAACTGGATTTATTTACTGCAGATGAACTGAGTCGGTTATGCAATTACTACGAAATATTAACAATAAGAAAATGAACGTGTTAAAGGAACATTTANAACATTTAAGCAGACGGTATCCAAGTAGGCTTCAGTGAATTTGATGTTCGGATAATTGGGTGCCTCTTTACGGCACATATTCAGAAAGAGGCCATCTGACATGCGCATTATATTCGCTTTGTGAACTGCAGTCACCATACGACGACCATTCTTGGATGCATACTCGAATGCGAATTTAGCAATGCGACTTGATGCTTCTTCTGTGATCAGTTTTATACTTTGCACGACACCGTCAACGATCTAATAAAATTGATACATTTCAAAGGGCATTTTCCATTATTACAATGCTTTATTGAGAATGCAAGCGATATAGCGCACCTCATGCTCAATTCCCGAATATTCTCCTTCCGTATTTTCACGAATCGTTACAACATTAACATCATCATACAGCGTTTTATGACCCACCAACGATCTGCACGGACGTACGTTAGCGTACAGATTAAATGTTCTGCAGCATTGAAATCAATAATCACTCATTGTGGGAATAGGCGAGTTGTGGATAAATTTTGGTTTATGATTTGAAGTTTATTTTGTGAGATGTTAGTTTGAGCATTTAGAGGGAGAATTTAGTGAAGACGGTGCTGATAAATATGATGGAAATGAATTAATTTTAGCAATTGAAAAGCACTTTCGAACAGCTAAATTCAGCGAGCGATGTCCTTTACCGACCGGTGTTTCGAGAGGGCCTTTCAGACCGACTTTATTGACGTGCATCAAATCAATACATCTGAAAGGTTGATTTCAACAGAG